TTTCCTTTTGAAATAACAAAGAAGGCATGTTATGGGAACATGGAAGGTATGGGTGTTGGTGTCATAGCCATGAGGCAATTGGAAACTTTCAAGGGGAATTTGAATACGTGGAAGATGGATTTGAACAAAAATGATGTAAGTCTTATGTCTTTTTTGTTTATAAGGTGAAATAAGATAAAATTATCACACATTTTATCTTATTTTAACTGAAGTATAAATTTCTTGGTAGGTACATGGATTAAGAATGCTCTGTGTCCGATATTGCTACGAAATGCTCACCTCTAATCATAATCAACTTGCCGTACAAGTGAAACGGAAAGTGGCAGAATATGGCAAGTTTATCAACTAGGATATGTGTCACACTTGGACACATACAGTGACAGTTTGATTTTTGGCCTAATGTCTGATTTTATTAAGTTTTAGCAATCTGATTTTGGGTTATTATGGTGTTGAGAAAACAGGATATGATTTGTGTGGATATAGGACCAGGTTAACATTTTGGGTTATTTGCTTCTGTAGGTGTCAAGCAGTCATTTTGAGTCTCTGGTTTTAGTTGAAAATAAATCTGTATGCAGATTCTAGTTCTTAGACTCTAAGTTCCAAGATTGAGACTAGTGTTTCCACTTTCTGAACTCCTATTAAAAACAGGGCAAAAAGAACCCTTATCTTATTTCATCAAAGTATATCATTTTATTGTCTTTTTTCTTTGTTGTCGCAACTAAAGTCATATGTTGCTGTTGCAACACTTGCAGTGCTGCACTAATTAAGCTTGCTGAAATGGAATACTGTGGCACAACAAGGTAGCGAGACCTTGTTGTCAAAACAGGATGTGATTTGTGTGGATATAGGGCCAGGTTAACATTTGTAATATCCTCATTTTGCTTCTATAGGTGTCAAGCAGTCATGATGCTTGGAACATTTTTCATTTTAGTCCACTCTTTAGCTTGTAACAACTGGATAGCTTTTGTACCCTGGCCTTTCTGATTTTTTTCTTCTAATGCAATATTTGTTAAGTGCTTAGTTGTGTTAGGGTTCCTTCTTAGCTTTGATTTGCTTGGAAGGTAATAAATCCCCTCAAATTTCACCATTCCTGGCAACTAATCCCCGAGAAGCGCACCTACAAGTTTACAAGTTATAGAACAGATTATGTTCAAGTGGTTTTACGTTGTGGTTGATTTGATCTTTATTGATCAATGGTTACAATTATTTCTGTCTTTGGTTTTGCAACTATTACATTGTCTTTATATGCAATTGCTAAAATGTGCAACGATCTTCGTCTTCGTCTTCGTCTTAAACCTGTCAAGTAATTTCCAAGAGAGTGAGGGCTGAGACGAGGACGAGGAGGGGATTTTAGCATTAAAGTTGTCCCGCAGAAGCGGTTTCACGTTTTCGTGCGTCAAAACGGGGATCTCCCCGCTGTAAATAAGCTCAAAGGCGAAAAAAACCGACTAAAAGGATGATAACTCATGTCTTAAGTAGGTTCAATATTGCTTGATAATGTGGTTGATCATTGAGGAGGTATAAAATTGGTGTTTCCGAAGGGAGCAAACCCGAGATAAACATACATGTCTATTTCTTTTATTATTAAAATTTTTCCTTAAAAATTATATTTTTTGCCACTACATATAGCTCACCAAACATTACTACAAAGCTCACCAAACTTAACTACAAAGCTCACCACATATTTTGAGAAAGCTCACCAAAAATATAGAGAAAGCTCACCACATATATTGAGAAAGCTCACCAAACATTACTACAAAGCTCACCACATATATTGAGAAAGCTCACCAAATATATTAAGAAAGCTCACCAAACATAACTAGAAAGCTCACCAAACATTACTACAAAGCTCACCAAATAATTTAAGAAAGCTCACCAAACATAACTAGAAAGCTCACCAAACATTACTAGAAAGCTCACCAAACTTAACTACAAAGCTCACCAAATATATTGAGAAAGCTCATCAATTTTTTATACCCTGGGACGGAGGTAGTATTTTTTTTGCGTAATTTATTCTCAAAGTTTGACTCATCAAATTATCTCAATGTGTAAGCCTAAATATAGTCATGTGTGATCTTGTTTGATTTGTCTTAACATATAGATAATTAATATATAATTCCTATAATTTTTTAATATACAAATTATAAGATAAAATGGATTAAAGAAGTGTATTGCATGGTGTCTAAAAATGAAAGTGTACAAATACTCTGGGACGGAGGTAGTATATTTTTTCCGTAATTTATTCTCAAAGTTTGAAATGTTTGCTCCAAAAGTCAAAATGGGAAAAAATATAGTCATTGTTTAAAAGCATTGACGAAAAAAAAGTTGGCCCCGAAATCGACCTAGTGTTGTATTAAGAAAGCTCACCAAACATAACTAGAAAGCTCACCAAACATAACAAGAAAGCTCACCAAACATAACCAGAAAGCTCACCAAATATATTAAGAAAGCTCACCAAATATATTGAGAAAGCTCACCAAATATATTAAGAAAGCTCACCAAACATTACTACAAAGCTCACCAAATAATTTAAGACTAAGACTTTGTTTTTTTACACGAAAGCTCACCACATATATTGAGAAAGCTCACCAAATATATTAAGAAAGCTCACCAAATATATTGAGAAAGCTCACCAAACATTACTACAAACCTCACCAAACATTACTACAAAGCTCACCAAATAATTTAAGACTAAGACTTTGTTTTTTTACATGAAAGCTCACCACATATATTGAGAAAGCTCACCAAATATATTAAGAAAGCTCACCAAATATATTGAGAAAGCTCACCAAA